AAAACAAAACCCCTACATAAAAGGGCCCTTCAAAATTGGATAGTGCATCAAAACCTTTCCAATAATATCCCTCTGTCACCCTTTCCACCTCCCCCAACTGCCCAAAATAAAAAAAACCCCATTTAAATATCTTTACACAAACCTGGAAGAAGGCTGAGTAGACAGGCACCTCATATGGATTAAACGAATCAAGGTCTCCATACAACTGCGCTTTATTGAGTTGTATAGTGGGGCAGAAAAAAGATCACATGATAGCATAGACACCTCAGCTGGGCTGAGTATGGTTGCATAGGATGATATTACTGTGGATCATAGGGTTGTTGTTGAGTAGAGTTGTCAGTTTGGAAAGTTTTGTTTCCTTCATCTTTTCAGGAGTGAAGGTTTGTGATAGGCTTCATGGTTGGATGTGGAGATCTCTTGGTAAATGGCTGTTATGTCCAAGTTGTTCTGTATGTTGGTTGATATTTCTGTAAATCCAGTGTTCTCCTGTTTCTTACACTGATAAAGTGGTTCTTAAAGTTCTGAGACAGTGAAACGCAGCTTATCAGAATAGGCTGTGTGGTATGTAAAATGGAGTGGGTGGACGGGTCATCTGTAGTCCCTGGCATGTAATATTTCTTTGCTTGCATCCAGAAGTGAATTTTACAAAGCGGGCTGCAGGAGAAGCAACTGGTGCTGTAGGGCTGGCTGAGCCCTCTGGTGCCAGCGTCCTTTTTCCCTCCTCTGGATGGGCAGACTGTGTACCATGAGGGCAGCAGTTGGGGCCTTCTTTTCAAGTTTCCAAAGCAGGTAAGAATTCTCCTCCCTTTTCCCTGCTCAAAGGTATGCCCCTTTCCCTCCTGCCTCACCCCCCTAACTCCCTCCACCTGCTGCTGCCACTTTCCTCACTGTCCCAGAGACAAGGATTGCTCTCGAACAACACCATCTGGTCTGTGCAGGGGCTGAGCTCAGCCCGGGACAGCAACGGTGGGTAAGTGGGTTTCCCCTCCCTGCTCCTGGGCTGGTGGGGAGCACCCAGGAGGACCAGGCAGGGAGGAAAAATCCACCAACCTGCTGCTGCTGCCCCTTTCCTAGTCTAAGCCCACCCCCAAGCAGCCCAGCTGGAGCAGAACATGAACTACCTTCACCCTCCAGCAACCAAGGATGCAGTGACCCCTTCCCCACCATCCTGTTCAGTGGACAAATTTTCCACCCTATAACATCTACTCCCCAGGGGGTGGTACTAGCACCAAGCCAACTCCCCTTTCCACTGCCTAGGGGTGTGAGCCTTGGGATAGTGGCAGTGGTAGTTGTGGAAAGGGGGAATGAGAAGGGAAGGGGAGGGAACATGCTGCTGAGTACATAGGGGAAGGCAGGGGGTAATTCTTACCCGATTCAGGGACTTGGGCTGCTTCTCTTGCCATATGGTCATAGCAGAGTCCCCCATGCAGTGTGGGACATTGGGTGTCAGCGGGGATTGCCCCCCCACCCGGCAGCACCCAGTGAGCACCGGTACTTTTCTTTAAAGGGCTGGGAGCTGGGACAGGCAGGGCAGCCACTGGGGGGGCTGGTGGAAGGAGGTCAGGGGAGCTGAGGGAACTGGGGGGGGTTGGAGGGGCTGGTAGGGGTCCCCCCATTGTCCCTTTCCCCTTCCCCCACCCCTAGTACTTATCAGCTCAGAGTCGGCTGCAGCTCCCTGCTGCAGCCACCGGAGACTGCCCGAATCATCAAAGCTCCCTGAATCTTTTCTGAAGATTCGAAGAGCTTTGAATCGATTTGGACCTTTAAATTGGTCCCCTGATTTGATTCAGTTCAGATTTGGAGATTTGGCTACCTAATCGGGCTGAATCTCCTCTGAATCGAATCACCACCCAAAGCTTCACACAGCCCTACAGTCCAGGTGGCAGTTCTGGCACCAAGCTAACTCCCCCTTCCACCTCCAGGCGTGTGAATTTTCCATCTCCAAGGGTACAACCCTGTGCAAACAGCCTGTAGAGCACATGCTAGCTAGCCAGATCACAGGGTATAGGAGGTGGGGCAGGGGATGGATGGGATCAAGGTAGGGGGATGCATGAGGTGTCCATAAGCTGGGGCTTCTTCCTGAGGGCAGGTCAGTAGCTCCCCCAAAAGCACCTTCACTCACTACTCCCACTCTCAGCCACCCCAGGAAGCATGACCAGCACCCCCCATGCCCCAATCCCAAATTATTAAAACAGGGACATTTTTAAATTTACTTCCTCTTTATTTCTTTTGAAATTATCTTTTTTTCCCCTTTTTGATCCTTCAATGGCTGACTTCTTTCATTTTGCCACCATTCTTCCACCTCTATTTCCTTTCTACCTCCTATTTCAATCCCCAACCCCATCTCATTAACTTTCTACCTCCCAGTTTCACATTCCTGGCCCCTACCAACCCATCTTTCATACTCTCCCACCTAGAGCAGGGATAGAAGCATGCCCTAGCTCACCAGACCTGTAGTAACAACTCACAGCTGTAGCTCCCGGTTACAACCCTGCTCACCAGCCTTGTATTGCCAAGTCACAGCTATGCAGGTGGGGGACAGTCAGAGAAGTTTTTTAGCCTTAAGATGTGACTACTCCAAACTAAAGTTTGTCCCAAATCAGTCCACACACACAGGGTTACTGCGCAGTAAGGTGTCTAAAAATGTCTTACTATAACTACTTGGGTGTAAACTTGCTACCTGCATCATGCAGGTAGCAAATTTATGCCCAAATCACCGTAAGTTACCATAGTTACTGTACAGTAGAGGCACACACAAGTAGATGAGACCCATACTGTGCAGTAATTTTTGGTTACTGCTCAGTAACCTAATTTACTGTGCAGTAACTGTGCACATATAGACTGTGCTCAGGGTGTAGGTTATTTTGCTGTGATGTTGCAGTTGCATTTTAGCTATATGCCTTTAGGACTGTAGGACTGCAAAGAACTTTCCAGATCATTTTCTCTAGTGGTTTTTTTCTATTATAAGCATCTACCGTGTGCAATTCCTTTCATAAACTGATCAAATTTTAGCTTAAGACTAGTTGGGCTGTTTGCCCCTACCATTCCTACTGGAGGACTATGCTAAAGGCTAGTTGCTATAATACATCCCCCTCTCTATTATCTTTCAGCTTAAATTTATTCATGTGGGAGCCTGCATTATACTTCAGACAAAAATGCTCTTTTCCCCCTAGGTTGCTAGTTCACAGTTGTCTTGTACGTGACTAACCATATATTTACACCACACACTAAATGAGCAAGCATGGGTACCAGTAGTCCAGGTGATGTAGCATGGAGCTAACTCATCTTACTTTCTTAGTACCCCACAGCCAGATGGATTCTGATATCTGTGAAGTCCAGCATCTCCACATAGCACTACACTGTGAAATGTTGTCACCCATATCACAGATAGACTACTGACTGGTCTGTTAGCTGTTTGGATGTTAATGAGTGTCCCTCTGATTTTTACCAAAAATTTTCTCCTGAAACAGAGAAACCTTTGCCAATGATTTTTTTGCTAGGGTTAGTAGGTTTCTGTGAAAAATGTTGTTTTCTGACAATTTACATTTTCATATGTAGGCAGAGCTGTTTTCATATGGGAATCAACTGAAATATACTTGAATGCATTTGGAAAAAAGATCTGTGGCATTAAACATTTTAGCTGTAGGTTGCAATTGATTTTTATAAAAACCTTTTTCCAGAGTTGAAGGGATGTTTCTATTGCCTGAACTAAACATTCTAGGAAAAATATATTAGTAAAAAGTTCTGTTTTTTAAAGCATTTACTTAAAAATATCTATAAAAATGTCTGGCTCTCTGGTTCTTGTGGAAAATTTGAGTCAGTGCTTTGAGTACCAGTTTCTGAGCTGTCTGTAGGTAAAAACAGGACAGTAACAAAACGTGTATGACAATGTTGCAGACTCATATTTTTATCATATCTCATTGCATAATGTTCTATACGTAGAAGGTTTAAGGTGAAGACAGAAGTGCAGCTCCCTGCTGTAACAGAGAATGCTTTGCAGAACGAGTTCTGAGTTACAACGATCTCCTGGAACAAACAGAAGTTCACTGTTGGTTCCAGGGGGGGAAGAGAAACCAGTTGAGCAGTCAAAATGAAACGTATGTTGGTGAACCTGTTGATTCCAAGTTGTTTACCAGAGCTGTTTGGAGAAAGCTTATGAATTACGAGTCCCTTCATGCAAACTAAAAATGGTTCTTAAAGTGAGAGAAGACTAAGGGTTAAAAACCAGACAATGCAGAAGTAGTTCTAGTGGTATCCATAATTTTGGTTTGTACAGGCAAGTTTCAACTGATTGCTTAATGTGTGGTTTGGTGAGGGTACTGTAAGAGACGTTGTAGCTGTGATGGTCCAGAAATTATGCAAGAGGCAAGCATCCCATCTGGTTAGGTCATGAAATTCTCATTCTCTCCAAAGATAGCTAACATGCTATTATTTAGCTGCTGAAATGTATGCTGAATTTGTTGCATCCCTAGAGCTAATGCATAAAACTAGTCATAAATTACTTGGGCACTTTTGCCAATTTCCTTGAAGAAGACAGGTCTTCATGAATAATGCTCACTATGTAATTATACTATGCCCCCCCTGTACTTTTACAAGGCAAGTAATAATTTCAACCAGTGAGTTAATGATATGCATCTGACTTGCATTGCAGTTTAATGAAACAAATCTTTTAGTCATAAAGTGTCGTAACAGAGTTAAACATTTTCTAGAGACACACCTATGCATGGATCAAAAGTAACTGCCTCACATAAGCCATTTTTTTTTTTAGAGTAGGAAAATCTACACACACCTCTACCTAATAGAGGTTTAAAAGCAGTATGTGTGAACATGGTTATTTATGAGTGATTTGGGGCTAGTGCTAGATTTATAGAATATTTCTTTTCACAGTAAAACCCTGGAGATTAACATACCCAATGAACAAAGTGGGATTATTTTGTGCCTTGTATTGTATCACTCTTGTAGTTGTTCAGTCATTCAGAGGAAATATCCAGTGTGGCAATGGAACCTCTTTTCCAAGCAAACTATGCATCTTCTCTGATCTACATGGTGACTGCAGTAATGAAAAACAATGTAAGTAGTTATCAGTGGGTTTTATTTGAAGTGCAGCAAAGTTCTGTAGTAGACTTAATGCAGTTTGGAAACTGTGCTTATACGCAATGGATAGAGAGGCAGAATTTCATTTGATTGAATTTTATTGCTTTTTTGTCATTTCATTTGTTTTATCATCTACAAATTTCAACAGCTCAAATTTCAATTTCTACCTAAGGGTCAAGGTCTCATTGAATTTCCTTATTCAGGTTATATAGCTAGATGAGACCCCTGCCCTTGAATTCACAAATGCTTACTGCAGATCAACTTTATTACATTTTAACTTGGTTTAAATCTGGCTGTCCAAAACCTGCTTCAAAAACATTCTTTTTTTTACCCTGAATCTGAATTTCTGAAAACATTCTCACAGATTTACTGAAGATTGTTTCAGTAGGTGAACAGCAATCAAAGTAGCAAAGCTGGAGCTTGCCCAAAGAGCAAAGCAAGCGAATACATATGTTTTAAGGAAAAAGTGACATCACAAAATGATAAATTTTAAAACCTTCTAATGTCATTGCTGTATATGAATGTATTTTCTGTTAGCCCTAAGAGTGTCATTCAGACAATATAATGCACTCAGGCTTGCTTAGCCTGATAAACTTAACTTGCATCTGACATATACTGTTATTGTAATATTGTAAATTCTATCATATAATGATGCCTGGTGCAGAAAAATCTCGTTCTATGGAGATCTGTAAATGTAACTTTAAATCAAAGTTTTACAGGGTCTTTTTGGCACAATGTAGAGCTGGACGAGGCCTTCTTGATCATGAGATCTAATCTCCTCTATTTGCAGGCAGTCATTAACCTACAGAATCCCCATATTATGCCCACAAAATTGCCTCATTTCTACACAGCCAGAGGAACTCCATGCCTTAGGGATTTTTTTATATAATTGTAATTCATATCCATTGAAAACAAGATATGTTTTTATGCTATAGACAACTGAAGTAAAAAAATGAATATGCACAGTTTCTGGCCATGGTTTTCTCTGCAGAAGAATATTTCCTCTAGACAGGTCACTAAAATTTATTGCCTGCCCAATCAATAGAATATACCAGAAAGCATGGTTCTTTACACACTCTAAGCCAAATTCAGGACTTTGACTGTGCAAATAAAAGAGAATATAAGAGCTCCCAAAAGATTCTTCTACACAGATTCTACTGTGGGAGCAATGGTACAAGTCACAAAATGAAATAGACTTGAAATTAGGGATGAGCCAGAACCATAAAATAGGAAATCTGCATTTGGAATGCCTGGGCCTGGGAATTTGGAGCACTCCAATGAAGTGGTTAACTGTCAGTCATAACATTTAGATGTAGGTCTGGTTTGGGGAAGGGACTATACCCAAGCTACTTCCCTCAAATCCAGCGGTGTTAAAACTAAGATTTTTGAGGTAGACTCTTACACAGAGCCCAAACCCGCTGTCTGATGGTCAAGAATTGACCTCTGGTCTTTGGAGATATCCAAAGACACTTAAATCAGGTTGACTCCATACAGGACTAAGGGTGAGTCTTTCTGCACAGATTACATTCCAGGCTGACAGTTTTAACTTTTCAGGTTTTTTTGTTGCATCTTTTAGCTGTTTGTTCTTTGTTATTGCACTTGAAAGGGAGTAGGAGAAATTGTGGATCTATTGTATTCCACATCAACTTTTAGCTTTGAGTTGGTAAGGTTTTTTGTGCGTTTTTTTAATACACTGCATTCTCAAATTAGCACACTAAAATGATGTGCGCACACTCTTAGTTTGTTAGACTGTTAATTCTTGGGAAACAATCACAAAGTCATTAAAAATACACATTATTTTCACAGGAACTGTCTTTATTTGGGGAAATATCACAAATTTTGCAGCAGTGTGATAGAGGATCTCATTTATAGGAAGAATTAACAAAAATTAAATACACATGATAGATCTTGATCTTTAGTCTCAGAGATGTAGGCATGTTTTTTAACTAGTAGATTATTTTAGAGCTTGCTTTCTTCACAATGAACACTGCAAAAAATGTGTCTAGAAAAACCCACACATTTCTTCCTCCTGTCTCCTTGCTCTACAAGCAGCAGTTTTTTATTGTCCAGAAAATTATATTGGATAACTTTCAAGTTAGATCTTTTGTGAAAATTAAGTGAATATATGTGTAGAAGTATCATGAATGATCCAGAGTTTTAATTTTAAAAAGAGCTGTGCTTTTTATTTTGTACTTGTTGATTTTAATTTGTTTTTTCAGCCAGAGAAATCTCTTGAAATAAAATTGAGTGCAATTCAGTGTATTCCATATAAAGGAAGGACACAATGGCCTGGCACTGCTTGCATGTTTGATAAACCATTGACCTGCTTTTCAGCCACTAAAAGATATTGCTTTATATCAAGGTTGAAAACTGCAAAACAGAAGAGTTGATGGTTGGGCTAATTTATACATTAATATATATCATAAATAACTATGCCAGCACTGTCTGTTATTTTCATGTATTTTATATATATTAATTCTGTTGCACTGAGGTAGGCATGGAAACAGTAAGACACATTTACCATAGTATAGTTTAATGAAACTTTGAACTCTATATATAAACCTATTTTTCAACTAAGGCAATTGCCTTAAACTACCCCGCAGGGTTTTTCCAAAATAACACCATAGTTAAAACTTTTTACAACGTGAGGCTGGGTATGAAGGCCATGTAGACCCTAGGCTGCTGAGGAACCTTAGCTAATAGCCGAAGTGCTGACCTGTTCAACTTCTTCATACCAGATGTAGACAGCATGAGATTAATGGTGTCCCACACCGTACTAGAAATAAAGGCAGAACCTTTCCATTGCTTTTGTGTAGGAACTAAGGTCCAGATAGGGACCTCATATCTGAACTGTTTTAAGCTACCAACCCTATCTAACCTGCCACTAGGAACAACAGAAACCAGGCATTTAACACCACCCTGCTTGGTACCCAGAAAGGAATTCATGCACTGCTGGGAAGCTATCAGACCCACCCCTAGGCTGGATAGATATATCTATTCTCTTAAAATTCTAGAGACATTCCTTTAACTACTTCATGAAAAACCATTAGTAAAAACTGCAAGTATAGTTTGGGATACTTACTAATTTTACATTTTGCTACTTTCTGAGCCTGTTCATTTCCAGTAGGTCTGGCTATTCTTCACCAAAAACCATCTTTGAAGGATTTCTTCATATGTCACATTTTCTAGACCTCTAATCACTTTTTGTTGCTCTCCTTTGGCCACTTTTTGTAGAAAGTTGTCTACATCTTTTTTGAAGTGTGATGTCCAAAACTGGACCTAGTAACTTATATAAAATATTTTTGTTTATATATCCTGGTATATTATTATCTTTTTCTCCAATAATATTATGTTCTAACTACTATTCATCTTTGTTGTCAGTCATTTTCTGCCCTGTTATTTCCTGCTTTATATTGGTGTATCTTGATTGTTTGTTCTTTGGTGTAGTACTTTGCATTTTTTTTTTCTTTTTGACATTTCATCCTATTTATTTCAATTCACCTGCTTTCAGTTAATCAAGGTATTCTTAATCCTATTCATGAAAATGTCTATTGCCCAACCTAGTTTCCTGTCATCCACAAAGTTACCAAGTATACACTCACTACTATCCTCCAAGTCTTGAATGAAGATACTGAACAGTAGTGGACCCAGGATAAATTCCTGGGGAACCCAACTTAATACTTCTTCCCAGTTTGATGTTGAGCACAATAACTTACCTTTATAACCTCCTGTAGACCATATTTCCATAGTTTACTTATGACAATTTAATAAGAGACAATATCAAAAGCCTTATTAAGGCTGAGATTTATCACATCTGCCTTCCACTCTCCACAAGGCCCATGAAATTGTCATAGAGGGGACTTTAAAGTCTAAATGCCTCCTTTAAAGTGACCAACTTCCTATAACTTGTGAACTAAAAAAACAATGCAAGGAAATCAGTTGGGTATTTTGCAAAAGGAAATGGCTGGCAAACAAAATTGCATGGTAGAGAACTATCTGCACTTTTCAGTGGGGGCGTGTAAGAGGTAGACTCTGGTGCATTTCAATTCTGTGGGCTTTTGCTCCATTCTAAGGGAATTTTCCACTGCTCCAGGAGCTGAAGACTGTACGTACAAAGAACTGGTAGAAGAAGAAAAGCTCCAGATCATATGAAACACTTTCTTTCACTTGCGTGGTTTTGAAGATGTCCCAGTGAAACCTTTAGACCTTTTTCCCAACATTTGTTTAACTAAAGCAATCTGGTGAATTTACCCCATGTAGCTGTGCTGTTTCAGTTTATTCAAAATGATATGTTTTTTCAGCAAAAAAGTTTTGCCTGAAAAATGTTGTCCAGTTTTAGCAGGCAGTGCAATACAAATGCTCATATTGAACAGCTCACACTGGGACTTTAATTCATATTCTGCAATAGATTCTGCTGCTGCTATGTTGTCACGCTAGAAATGAACCTGTTTATCCCTGAACCTGAAGCTAGAAGCATAATGTGAATTTAAGCTTCAGGGCCGACTGTGGCAGCCTCACACTGAAAGACTCCAAGACTGCACTGCCAGGGATTCCCTAGGGGATCTGGGTTGCTTAGATATTTTCTTAAACTGCTAGGTGTGTACCTTGTACTCCCTCAGCAATTCTTCATGTGGTTGCTGCTCTGCTTACCTCAGTTTTGTCTGCATGCCAGTTACTGTTGAAACTAAGTCGATAATAGCAAATAGTCCTCCCCCTCATTCTGCTATTAGCACATTGACTGCATCACCGCCCCACAGCACAATGGCAGATAAGTTTGTCACGAAAGACTCCGAGCCAGGATATAGCATTCAATTACCCAGGAAGGGGGAGGGTAAGAGAGTGAGAGAAGCAGCCCAGACCTAATGTACACATGCTGAAGATCAGGAAGAAAGAAAAGGAAAGGGTAGCAGGAGAAAAACATGAAGTACTGCCCTCTGTCCTTCCACTTCATTTTCTTGCCAAGGGTGTCTCCCCTCCTTTGGTCTCATCAAAGCAGCACCCCAGCTGGCTAAGGGAACCTTCATCTAATTTAGGACACGTTCATGCTATGTGCAAAATGGGTTGTGAAAAATACTGAGAGCCTCATCCTCCCATTATACATCCCTACCCGTCAGAAACCCCCATTTAGGTCCTTGAAGGTTTAGTTAAAATAACGAACATGCTGTTGAAAAATCAGGTTTTGTTATAGTGACAGCAACAGAGGTGTAGATTTAAAAAAAAAAAAAAGAGGTTCTAAATGGCGATTTGCTGGTGCTGAACCCTTTTTTACTACTTTAAAGAGCCTGGTGTTGACGTGAATGATAATCTGTATTGAAGCCTTTGAATTAAGTGGCAGTGATGATGTTTGCTGTATTTTTAAGATTATTGTATCTGCTTACATGCAACCTGATACAATTTAAACACACATTTTACATAAATAGGTGGAGAGGTATATTTTGTGTAGAATGGACTTGGTAGCAAGATGATACATGAGCTCCTCTAGGTATGTAGACTGACTTCTTTTCTTCCTTTTCCTCTATTATTCCCACTGCACTACTTGTTGCCTTTTCTCATTGTTCGTAGGAAAACATTTGGATGTATTTTACATGTCCTGTGAGACATTTGAGAATATTTCTGTGCGCTTTGTAAATAATGAAGAATGGCAATAATACATTCATTTGTTTCTATTTATTTGGTTATGGTTGTAGTTAAATCATTATTCTATACAGATTCTGAAAACATTTATTTCTGATTAGGTTATAAAGTGTGTGATTTTGAAAAGGACCTGTGCAATGTGTTCCTCTTTGTTAATGGGTGGACAAGGAGAAATGGCCTAACCAGCATGGAATCACCCCTCTCTGACCACAGTGGAAATAACACTGGTAAGGAGCCCCAAGTGTGTAACCATCTGGTGTCTGCTTTAGATGTTAATGTAAAGAGAGACTAAATTATAATCTTACATTTTTTGCAATTGTTGATTATGCTTGTCTAGAAATACTGAATGTTTATTTGTTTCTACTAACTGGTGAAGTTTTCCTATTTTTCCTGACTTAACCTGCACTTATTTTGTAATTTATTTTACTATGGTTACTGCACATATATTGGAAAAATCATAATCGGAAATGATGAGAAATGAGTCCCGGGTAACAACTCTTTCTATCATGTGACTTAATAGTTGATGTAGTATTAGCATCAAATCAAAGTTTACTAAGAAGAGTTTATTACTATGAGGGCTTACATAATCATTTACCAGGACCCAGCTGGCTTTGTTTAGTTTTGCTTTTTTGCCTGGCTTGGTACTATTCATTCCAACTTTGAAATCATAAAAAAGAAAGGGAAGGCCTAGAAGGGACCTCAAAAGATCATCTAGTCCAAACATCTGCTCAAGGCAGGGTCATCCTTGTTTAAACCATTTCACTTTAGCGTGTCTACCTTGCATCTAAAAATGTACAATGATGAGAGCTATACAGTTGCTCTAGCATCTTTAATATCCAACCTAAAATTCCCTTATTGTAGTTTCAGATGATTACTTTTTGTATTCTGCCCATAGACAATAGTCTGGCTCCATCCTCTGTTTCCTAACATAAACTATTTTAATTGCCTGAATTTAACTGTTCATTAAAATGCAATGGGTACACCTCATTAGAGTTAGGCTTCAATATTGATTGTCATCAAATTGCCTTCTATACTGTTCAGAAAGTGTCTCTCTCCAGCTGGCACTTATGTCCTATAGGCACCAAGATACTTTGAATTATTGGAGAGCATGGCCTCTTCTTTGCCCCTTAACAGGATGTGGAATGCCCTTTTGCTGTAAAGAAACACCTCTTCTGGGCAAAATAAGGGAGGTCAAACTGATTCCACTCGCTTTCTGTCCTTTCTGCAACGATAATGACTTCAGTTGTTCCTGAGTGCAAAGGCTAGGAGTGCACCTATTTCTCCAATCCCTGTGCCACACATAGAAGGGCTTTTATATCCTCTCTTCACATACACACAGGCACTAAGCAGAGTTAACCCTGAGTTTTTAGGCTAGACTATTTAGATGTTCCTATATATATCCCTTATAGTGTACCTCATAATAATGTTCACTTTGTTTACATGAATATAACTTGTAAACAGCATGCCACACAAGAATTCTGTGCAAGTCAAAGAGTAACTTGAATGGAGCATTTCCCTAGGGATTTGTTCAGCTTTTAACAACTATTTGCTTTGCAGGAAACATAAGCACTTTCCAAAATCTAACTGTGACTATAGAATTTTAAATACTATCTTTAATAGGTACTTAATGGTGGAGAGGAAATGGTTATAATATCCTCTAACATTTTTCCAGATTTCAAAAAGTATCCTGTAATGTATTAGAGTGAAAGAGAAATGTTTCAACTTGTTTCCTCAACCGCTATAACATTTTTCATAAACAAATGAGTAAATGGGAGAGTAACACTCACTTGAGAATAACCAATATCCCAAGGAATAGGGCACCCATCTTTAAGTTTCTGTTCCACCCACTTAATTATGCCAATGACTTAAACCATGGGTGTCCCACTTCCAATATGATTGCTATAAAATTGTGCTGTGTCAGTTCCTTTTGCTGTCTGACCTAATTAGTAATTATTTGGCTAAAGCAGAAGAGCCCTAATTAGAGTTATTGAGAGACCCACCTCAGAAGCTGTTCTGGGGTTTGAAATTTTTTTTTGTGACCAAATTCTCTCCTGGACCAAAGAAACCTTTCATGCTGAATGTTTAATGAAAACTGGTAAATGCTTATGAAAACTTAATGGTTTAAATAAATATCTTTTTTCTCTAGTTAAAAAAATCTAATTTTAAAAGAATTTTTCATTGGAAAACTTCTGATTAACTCTGTCAGTAATGTCATGTCTCAGCGACGGTGCCCATCTTGCACACTGTTAATCAATGACTTGCAAGTCATGTTCAGGGTTGTGGAATTTGCATGATAATTCAGTATAGTTGATGAATATCTAGGAATTGGAACTAAGTCCTCTATTGTGTTGTTTAATATGTTTGGCTTCTCTGACAACATCTTTTCTTTCTTTATTTTAAAGCTCACATGTTTTGTCTTGCATAATTTTCTCCAAATGATCTATCTATCACCTTCTTGGACTCATCCATTTTGTCAGTTGCTTAGTAAAAGGGCCTTGCTTTAACTACCATATTTGCTTGAATACAAGATGAGGTTCCCCCCCTAGCCCTCCCCCAGTCAGCATGGGGAAAAAAGCCTATCATCTTATACTTGTATACAAGGAAACCACATTAAATACATTCTCCATAATTAAATTGTTTCCAAAAGCAGCATGTGCTTAGTAATAGAAACCAATTATGAAGCTGGCCAAAACTGGGCATGATTATAAAACACATGATCCATACCTTTTTTTTATTACAAACCAAACTGTTTTAATGCAAAACTTGACACTCTCCCTTACAACAATAGCTTGTACTTCTTGCACCCCTTTTCACCATTAACACACTAACCTCTTGTGAACAATCCCAAATCCAGAAGGAAACAACAACTTTCACTCTGTGCCTTTGTCCTTTTGGAAGAAACACTGCCATTCTTCTTTCCTCCATCTCTTCTCTGCTTTCTCTTTTCCCACCATGTCTACATCTTGATCCAAATGTATTTTAATTCATATCTTGCCAGCACCAAACATTCTTTTCTGGTGAAAGCCAGTCCCTTGACTAAGAGAAGATTTCTCACCTTCCATATCATTACTGTTGCACAAAGTAGTATGGTTCTCAGTCTGCATCTCCAGTCCTTTGGAAATTATCCCATACAACACCATTTCAATACAAACTGTGACTTCATATATAATTTCCCTCAAAAAAAAAAAAATGTACCCCCTCCCAAGCTCCTTGCACAAAAAGGTAGTCCCAAAATACATGCAGTACAGACTTTTCAGCCCTACAACCCTCGAGTACACCGCCAACCTTACAAAAGCCCATTTAGACTGAATGCCCCTCACAGGAAGAATATTCTGTATCAAAATCCATATAAAATCTATATGTTCTTCTTTCAGTCTATTATCTGTCACTTCATTCTACACATTTACCATCTATCTTTCCAGATCCCCAACTATTGTTATTTTATCTTTCTTATCATATTAATCACCTTCTTACAGACTTTCAGGCATCTTATTCCCACTCTCTCAAGTTTACTTACCTTTATGAATCGCCCCATCTTTGCATAGTGGGTCGGTGGCTGCCACACCCTTGGCTTTTTCCAACCTCCCCCATACATGCCGCATCTTCTTAATGTTCTTCCTGCCAGGTAACAGCAGAAACGTGTAGAAAAGACCTCCACTTCCTCTGTTGTCTCTTTACAGAACATACTTATAAGTATACACAAAGCTTTCCAAATCTGGCATTCCTCAACCTCCTAATTCCCTGGCTTTGCATAACTGTGTTCTGGCTATGCTTTTTCTTTTCTTTCCTCCCTCTCTTCCCTCACTCCCTCCCCAAATGCATATCTGTCCCTGTACCCTCCTTATCTGTTGCCATGACAGTGGGTACACCACTCCTGTGTAAAGGAGTGGCCAGAGTACCATTTTCACTGCAGCCACCTTATCCTTGAAATATAATGTTCTTCTATTCCACAAAACCAAGATCTATCTATCTCTTATCTCTAACTTCTCCCATGCCTTTGTTCCTTTCCCTTAAGCATCCATTGGGATTCCCAAGATCTTGATTGCACCTTCTACCACCCGTGGCCCGAACTTCTGTAAATTCTCTCAGTTCCCCATACCCATCAATGTACTTGTCATCTTATTTCATTTTGCCCCCAACACTTCACCATAGTTCTCAGTATGCTTCAGTACCCTTTTAATAGATACATTGTCCTGAATCTCTATGTTCACATCATCTATGTATACTGCACATTTAACTTCTCCTGCTCCTGGTATCTTCACACCACTTACCAGCTTATCATGAATTCTCTGCATTAATGGCTCCCTTGCACACACAAAAAGATAGGGGGAAAGCAGGCATTCCTGTCTTACCCCTGTTTGTGTGGGGAATGCTTTGTACAAGCAACCATTTACTAGTACTAGACTTCCTGCTTTACTGTATAGCACTTTTAACCCATCCCGTCGTCTTCACTGGAAACTCCATCCTGTGCAATACTTCAAACATTAAATCATATTTAACACTATTGTGACCTTTTCCCAGGTCTAGATTCATTATTACTGTATTTCTTTTTCTGTCTTGCACATCCAAGATCTCTCTCATTAACCACAGAGCCTGGAATATCCTCTTCTCAGGAACAGCACATGTTTGTTTTTCTTGTATCACATCTGCTAAACAGTCATGCATTCTTTTGGCCAATACTTTTGCTATCAAGTTGTAGTCTATGTTTAAAAGGGTTATTGGCTTCTAGTTACCTAACATGTCTTCCTTTCCCTTCTTGAATATCAAAATTACCACACCTGCAAAATCCTCTCCTATCTCTTCTTTGTTTCCCTGTATGTCTCTATTATATCTGCCCCTAGCCGGTGCCAACATTTTTTCATAGAATTCCACCAGAAGTTTGTCTCTTCCCAGTGCCTTCCCTCTCTTGCTAGCTTTTACACAGTCCTCCACCTCTCTCATACATAACTTCTCCTCCAATTTTTGTTTCTTTCCATCCTCTATTCTTTCCTTTATCCCTTCAAGGAGCACCTTCATTTTTTCTTCCATCCACTCCTTTTCTTTTGTGCTGCTTTTTATAAAACCCCACCACTGTATCCAACAGTCTTGCCTCTCTTCTATTCAGTTCTCACTGCTTTTAGTTCCTTCCTAGTTTTCCTCAATTTTTCCAAAAAATATTTACACCATCCTTCCCCCTTCTCCAGCCAAGGTGCTCTGGTCAGAAAGATTTTCGCGTCTCTTTTCATTC